CAGTCTTATACCTGTACCAGTCTTATACCTGTACCAGTCTTATACCTGTACCAGTCTTCTTATACCTGTACCAGTCTTATACCTGTACCAGTCTTCTTATACCTGTACCAGTCTTCTTATACCTGTACCAGTCTTCTTGAATTGGAGCAGGCAGGCACCAAGGCTGTTATGTTTACTTGCACCATGTACATGTTATGAGTCATCTTGAGTTGCATTTATTACCGACAAGACTGAAGACTTGCAAATGTATAGTATGTACAATTAAACATGCTAATGCTACGAGTCTGCTTTTCTTGCTCATGATTCTCTGCGGTTGAATTGTACTTGTTTCGAGTCATTTTACCGGATTTTATTTCTCGTCGAATTCGTTGACTTTCACCTTTTACGAGATGTGAGTCTTCTTTACTTGGTCTTGATTTTCGTCAATCCTGTTGACTTGTACCAGTTGCGAGTATTATGACATGAGGTTTTCGTTCCCGCATGAGATTTGTATTTTACTAAAGAAACAAGTTTTCTTTATATTGATTTCGAGCTCATGGCCGTCATGGTTGTTGACATGGCTGGGGTCAGAAGTAAACATGCAATTTTCTACTCTTGGGTTCATGCTCACAAATGCAGCAAATTTTGAATAGATCACGTCGAAATTTTAGCTACTAATTTCAGAAACTTTTACACATCAAGATGAGTGAACAGACTCCTGTTATTAGCCTGTGAAGTTGTTCACGATCTAAGTTATCGAGTGCTTTTATCCTTTTATTGTTTGGAATTGGTGACATGTACAGGTGAAAGCGTTTTTTTTACTTATTACTTACTTACTTTTTACCGCGTTTTATGATTACTTCTGTTGCTTTATGGTTTCTTAGGCAGAGTTTTTTTTGTTTGAATCGTATAGAATAAACATAAATGGTCTGAAAATTAACATGGAAAGTGTCAGAGTTGGAGACGTCTATGTAATCTTTGGGTCAATGCACCAGCTATAGTCGCATGTATCCTAGAAATGCCTGACATATTTGCTGTCTGTCTCTATTGCATTTATACAGACGTTCACTCTTTCGGATCTCCCATTTCCTAAACTTCGTTATAAATATCAAACAAAATCGTGTGTATCAATCACGATTTAAAACAATAGATCGCGATTCCCTACTACATGACGAATTAATTTTAAACACAAAACCATCGAATACTATTACTTATAAAATGCTCGAAACATTTGATTCATCACAAGTTTTAAAATATGTTCAAATCTGAGGTTTGCTGAACGAAATTGTAAATTTGCAGTTCCTGATGAGATAGAAATTTTGCTGCGATCAACATACGTTTTGTACGGCCAAATGTTTACCAGCGCTTCAGCTATTTAGCTATCTCGCACCGAAAGTCAAGATGAACATCACCATAGAGGTGGAAGGTCTCAATTATTCATCACCCATAAGGGGCGGAAGGTCTCAGATGTCCAGCCCGCTGAAGCTGGCTCGAAAGAAGCAGCGTTAGCATCTCAAAGAGACGAAGTGACAAGGAGGGACAGGTGAAAAGCAACAGAAACGAAGACACTCGAACTAGAGGTCGCTTACACGGGACGTCGGCCGCCCGCACGAGAGAGACAGAGAAGGGAAATGTAAGGAATCCTGCATACATAATAACTTAACCCCACAACTGAGACCTGCAGTCAGACACCGCGAGCTCAGCGGTGGTGCGCTCAGGAACAATCCCCCTAGGAACGCAAAATCCCATAGGACTTCTGACGAGCACAGACACTCGTCAGAAGTCCCCCCTGAGGGGGGACTATGGATGAGCTTCATTGAGATCAATTTTTCCGGAAATGAAAAACGCGTACGTTCCGCTATTTATAGTCGATGCTCCAAATTCATGTCTTCAAATGTAGGTTATTCGTAGGGTTATTGGTATATCTATTATTTGATTGAAAATATCTTCCTTTTTGAAATTTATTAGTATATATTACTTTTTAAAGTTGTAATAACCAGCGTATGCGGTTGCCTTTACACCGACCCCCTTGCTTACCGGGTGCTTCTATGACATCGGATTCATCATATAAGTAAGCCTCTGGAAATCCGAAGGTCTTGCATGGGCGAGTCGACAGCCTCGCAAGAAGAGATCAGTGGGCTTTTGATTTCTTGTCCCAGCTAGTGAGTGTGTACGAAAAAAAAAAACATTTTCTAACGTGCCTCAGGGCTTTTGAATGGTCCGTAGCCTCAGTGTGATTTTGACCGTTATCGTGGCAGGGTGCGCGCGCCAGTGGAAGACTCGCGTCTTGCACGGGGATGTTTGTGTCTAACTTTATAGAGTCTTTACTGTATTCGTTAATAATTATAGGCTGTAAATCTTGTTATGTCGATTATGGTTGTGGCTATTTTGGTAATGTTTACGTTGGTGCAAACTCCCTGGAGCTGAATGCTCATGACCGCCTGGACTGAAGTAGCTTCTGATGGTACAGCGGCCGCTCCGCGCCATTTTAGCTGCTGTTTTGGATATGTTCCGTATTTTTAATTTCTTTCAAGAGAATATTCCGGCTCTTGCACGTATTAATTTTTTTTTGAACCGTGATAATTTTGAGACTTCTTGTTCAACTGAGATCATAAGTAAACATTTCGAAACGTCTATGGAACCGTGAGCAGTGAATTGTGGACGATGAGCGTAACTTCTTAAGGCATCGAGGTCCCTTGTGAAGTTATGATATTCATGGCTTATTCGCAGAAAAAGGGAAGATATAAAATTTATCTCCGACCCTGGAAACTTTATGGTGATATTAATAAATACGTATCTTGATCAGCCAGATCAGAAAACTGCTGAGAAACAATTCAGCTATCGTAAAGCTGAGTTCGGGACGGTATTAGCCACACATTGGTCTTTGAATTAATGGTAATAGCAAGCTTGATATATGTCTTGTAAGATCTTACCCACTTCTTTTTTGTCTATCTTTTTAGTTTCCACTCACGGATTGGTCTTTTTCTGAGATACGTGACGGCAAACCTGTTATATTTTGAGGCCGGTATACTAGTTGAAAATGCTGCTCAGAAGTCTACGGCCTGCAGCGTCATTCTTATGTTAAATTTAACATAAATTTAAATTTTAAAACTGTCACGATAAACTGCATTTGTTTGGAGACTGGCCTTAAAGCTTTTATTCTAATGGAAGATATGATCGTCGTTAATAGTGATCGTTACTTTAGTTTTTTATTATTGATATTTGCTGTTTTATTTTGATCATCGTATTCATTTGCATTGATTCAATTCAATCTCAATTGCGTTCGATATTTCATGTATTTAGTAATTGAATGGTGGCCAGAAACATCCAAAATAACAGAAAAATTGTCGAAAAAACATAACTTTTCCAAATTTGGACAATGTGATGAATTTTGCAAGAATTTGTGAATGGAAAACTGGAGATGATTCGGGTTTTATGATATTTCTACGCCACGATATTACTAAAATTTCGATGTGTTAATATCTATTTTGCTATGAATGCGACGCAAGTGTCGTATGCATGTTGCCAAGAGAGCCTGTCTCTGCCACGTTGATGCTTGGATTTCCCATATGTTCCGATTTGTTGAAGACATGCTGGATTTTTGAAGTCATGGTGGATTTTTGAAGTCACCGCCGTGCCTAATCTGGTGAGTTTACGATGTGATCTAGTGGTCACTTTGTTTGCGTGGTGTAAAGTGTACCATTTGTACACTTGACATTATTTATTATTTTTGAGCTGCACTCATCCTGTGAACGTCCACACACCTTCTTCGATGCACTCAAAGTTTTCTTCATCTCTGGACATTACTGTCTCCCATTACCTGCGTTCTTTTTATTGTATTTTCATAACGTTTAATTACGCTCTTTCTTTGTAATTTGCGTTCGTTCTAATGATTTGTTACGCAATGTTGCAATCGGGATTGAGATAATCTTAATTGAGTGTTTAAGCAACTAATGCTCTTGTTTGTTCGCAGAATGCAGGAACCGGAATGCGTACTCCGGACTTCTGAAGACCGCAAACTAACATCAGCGATACACACCGAGTCGACGGCCATTGCGGAAACTACTGTTGCTGCTGAAGATAAGGATGAAATTACTCAAGATACGGGGAAACCCTCCGAAGATGGAGGTCTTTCTAAGAAAGATCAAGTACGTGTTTGCAATGAGGAACAAATAGCTGGAAGCAGCAAAGAACTTTCTGAGAAAAACACGCTGGAGTCGAGTGAAAAAGAACTCGTTGTGGAGGAGGAAATCATTGATGGAGTAAATGAACTCGTCAAGAACGAAGAGCCTACTGAGAAGGAAGAACCCACTGAAGTAACAGAAAAACTTGCCGGGATTGCCGCTTGTAGTGAAATTGATGCACAGGGAAAGGTCTCGTCTCAGTTGAGCAAACTGCTTCCGACGAATGTCGATGAGCTTGAAAATCCGCAAAATTTTTTGAAACACGAGGGAGAAGAAGAGAGTGAGGATAATGTGCCAGCACTTGAGTCACGCAATGATGCCTGCCGCAACCTGGCGCCAGTTGGCAAAGTGCCTCAAGTTGATGTTTCACACTCAGATCCCTTACTTTATTCTTCAGTCGAGGGAAGTGAATCTATAGACAGACAGAACGTTTCACTCGACGAAACTGAAACAAACTTCGGTTCCCAATCTTCAGAAATGAATGTTCTACCTGTTGCTTTGGAAACTAATATATCGACTACTGAAAGAATCGTTTCGTTTCCGGCAAGTGAAGCAAATGTTTCGCTTGGAGATAATATCGAAACAGACGTTCCTGACAACTCTAAAGATAACGCTGCTCTGCGTGCTTTAGATACTCAAATTATGGACACTGGCTCTCAGGTTGCCAAATTAACCGACCTTATACCTGACAAGTTTAGAAAAATTGTCCATGAGTTGAGTAAAATTGTCGTCGCTCCAAACTGCGAATTTACTGGCACTAGCTCCCACATAGTCGAGTCAAACTGTCAGCTCGGTGTCTCGGGAGATGAACACGACGACACATTAGACAGATCACACGATCAGAATAGTTTATTTAACGGAATCGAGGCTTCAGGTTCCGTATCGTTGGAACCGAAATCGTTGGCTGCTGAATATAAAATTCACGATGAGTTTTCACATCTAGAAGATGAAGTCGTTTCCAATATGGATACAGAAAGTATAAATTTAGATCTTATGCAGAGTGTAAACGATCCCCATAATTTGAAGAGAATTGCAACGGACGACTCACAAGTTATTTATGAGCCGCCAGAGTATCATCATAATGACCGAAGTGGTGCGCTTTCCGTTGATAATGGAGAGTTGTCAATGGAGGCTCAACCATCCCAAGAGGATGACTTTCGGCTAGATGCGGAGGAGGGCTTTTCTGGGCATTTGGAATCTACTGGCGAGAAATATTGTAATATCGAGAATGATCATAATGAAGAAGTGACTGAAAATGAAATGCATTCGGAGACTGATATTACCGTCAATACTTTTGATTTTGATGAAGAGACAGCTGTCGAAAATGATGAATCTAGCATTATGAACGAAGACTACGAGATGACTGGAGAACAAACTGAAAGCAAGCGGCCTAGGGGCATTAAACGTCAATTAGAGTCAAAATCAATCCCAGAAGCAGCTGAAATGGTCGCAAAAAAGTCGATGCCTGGCAAGAAAACGACCAAAAAGTCATTGCCCAGGTGTAAAATGACCAGAACTTACGTCTGCGAGTACTGTAATTTATCCACTCAAAATCCTCGTGATCATTTGTACCACATACGTGACGTACATTTCGAAGCCATTCACATCTACGAGTGCAAGTCTTGCCAGTACGCTTCTAAAAATTTCACGAAACTGACACGACACATGCAGATGGTGCACAAATTTAACCTCGAAATGGATGAAAGCGGCGTGAAACGTAAAATAAATTCTGCATCATATGAAGCTCCTTCACCGGCACACGTCAAGGAGTCTTTTATCATGGCCAGCAAAAAGCCCTCCAAGAGTGTTAGCAAATTGCAAGTGGAGGTTGAAGAGTCCGAACCTCTTCACGAGGACTTTGGAGAAGAAGCCGAAGAGGAAGTAGATGAAGTTTCCTCCAGAAAAGAAGACCAGAACAACCACTGCGATCATTGTGACTTTGTAGGCAAAAGCCAGAAGGCTTTGAGCAAACATGAGGAATCTTGCCACTTGAAACGCACTTTTTATCGTTGTTCAAAATGTGCGTACGCAACGCAGCTCAAAGGTCGCTATACAAAGCATATGAAATACCACCAGCTGCCCATCATTAAGTGCGACTTCTGTGATTTTCGTACGCCCTATCGGTGGAACCTGGACCGTCACTGCCGGAACCACACCGATGAGAGTGGAGAACACAAATGCCATCTATGTAACTTCACGGCTCAAATCAAGCAATCTCTCACAGTCCATGTGGCCAATCATCACCTCACGCCTGACCAAGTCAAGGAGCGGGATCAGAAGCGCACAATTGGAGCCACTGAATTAGGGGAATTCGCAACAGATGAAGAAGAACTTGAGCTCATGAAAATGGAGCGTGATGAGCATCCTGATGCTTTTCAGCTCGCTGATGGTCCTGACCAGAGTTTTACTGTGGCAACGCTTGACGTTAGCTGCCAGGAGGAGAGCAGCTCTCTGCATTATCCTCCTGACGATTTTGATGTCACTGGCGATTCAAGGAAAAAGAAACCAAAGATTAAAATGACCTTTAGAAAAATGAAGAATTCAAAAGACTCGCTTTCAACTCAAGAAATTAACGAGCGACATAACTTTGAAGAGGATTTTATCCATCCAGATGATTTCGTTCACAGGAACGGGAATGTTTACATGAAGAATTACAAGTGCGATCAATGCTCTTTCAAAGCGGCCTTCAAGAATGACCTTATTCGTCACGGCAAGAAAATGCATGACGCTCAATGTGAGGTGCCGCTACCTGCGGGTCGTAAAGTAACAAGGAGTACATCATCCGGTAACGTGTCTGTGGCAACTGACCCTGACTCTTCTAAAAACGAATCTCTGGAAGATTCAGACTTTACAGAATCGTTTTCGCCGGATTCCGTTAACGATGCTAACGATTCTGATATTGTCACTCACTCAAAAACACCAGAAGTTAGAGAGACTCGTAAGAAAGCAGCTTCAGATGACTTCAATGAGAAATCTACTACACCGAACGCACAAAATCTCGTGTGTCAATACTGCAACCACAACTCCAAGTGTCTCGCGGAGTCCGTGCGCCACGCAAAGCTTCATTTGAGCGTCAAAAATACACCTAGGGTGACTAGTTTATCGGCTAAGTGTCAGTTTTGTCAACTTCGATGTAGAACTACCGAAGATCTCTCATTCCATCTGAAAAAATGTCCTGAAGCAAGAAAAAATCAAATAATCGACGTTGCCCCTCGGAGATCGCGAGCTGAAGGTCATAAGAACGAGGACTCCGATGATGAAGATGATGCTACTGAGCAAACCTGCAAACCAGAATTGCGTGTTCAGCCTTTGAAAGAAGTTCACAGCAAAAGCCATTGCAATAACCGAGTCGCGAGTGACGACGAGGATAGCTCCAATTCTGCTGATGCTGACGACATGAAGCTGAAAATTGATATAAAGGAAGAAGAGATTGACGGGAAACATGACACAGAGTCTGCATCTACGTCAGAAGTCACTGCTAATCAGTACGAGGCTCTTGACGAATCCCAAGAAAAACTCATTGTAAACTCCGATGAGAAACCGGCTTCTGAAGGGAAAGGTTTTGTGTTCTCTAAAAGGGCGTATTTGTGTCCGCAATGCAAGTTTTGGTCTACGACTGCATCGCGTTTCCACGTCCATATTGTTGGTCACTACAACAAGAAACCTTACGTGTGTTCAGTGTGTCCTTATCGCTCCAACTGGCGCTGGGACATCACCAAACACATCAAGATTAAATCCGGCAGAGACAAGGCTCATTTAACTGCGGATGTTTTAATCACTGATGAAACTGGTGAGAAGAACTATGAAAAGTACGAAAAATATGTCTCTATTATTCAGCTAGACGAAACGCAGGCGTGCCGAACGGAGGGTGGCATCCCGCCGCGCAAAGGCCGTTTGAAGAAAGTGGAAAAAGAGTTACGGAGCATCGCGGATGACGGTGTCGAAGATTCCTGTGGGTCAACAAGCTCCACGCGATGCACGTCGGCCTCTTCACGCGATGACACGCCTGTCATGTCACCACAAGCGCCGTCAACTGGCGACACCTCACCCGCTACGTGTTCTTCGTCGCCACCGTCGAGCTCAGCATCGGCTAATCCAACTTTTAACGTGGCGCATGCAGATCATTTGTCGGGGCTAGTCTCCAGTGAATCTTCTCAAATCTCTCCTGGGAAAAAGACAGCTACTCAAAAACCAGGACAGTCGTCTCAACCAATGGTGTGCATCCCACTGAATGGCCCCATAGCGATGTCGACTCCCGCTTTCCCGGGTTTACCGCGTTTATTAAAAACTTCTCCGCTGCCTTGTTCATCTGCCGCTACGACTTTTTCTTCTTCCAGTGCTGTCTCTGTAGAGCCAACTGTCTTATCAGTTACTGCGCCTAGCGCCTCCATTAACTCTGCCGCATCTCTAACATCTCCCGTACTATGTTCTGCTCTTTTTCAGGATAAGAACTTGTCTAAGTTAGGTGGTAACGTTTCTGATGCTGCCGTTAACATGAAGTTTAGAAACAGCTTAGAACAAACGGCGGTTCTTCCTCCACTTTTGTTACCTCCCGTGCATGCGCATAAAAATGGCGACCTTTTTAAGCAGCCTTTCTCAAAAAATCCGAAGAATATGATGAAGCCGCCGCCTCTGCTTCCCGTTAAAAGCTCCTCACGTCTCCCTTCACCTTCGTCGTCGCCGTCGCCGAGCGTGTCCCCGCGAAGCCACAATGCAGTGAGCATCAGCACCTCCCGCTCCTCTGGTGGACAGTACCAAGTCATCGCTCCACAGGTGAGAAATTTATTGCGTTCACTTGCTAATAAACACCGTGCAAGGGTCTTATTTGTATCTAAAAAGTAGTGAGCTGGATAGAATTTCATAACATTTTATTCATGAAGGAGAATATATGTATGCCTGGGTCTCTTATTTGCGTTGCAGTCATTCAACATGAGGTTTCAAAGTAAGTCCATCCATGAAATACAGTATTGGAAGTTCTCTCTTATTTCAAATTAATTGGAATTTTTTTGTGGTTGAATTTCTTTTACATTTTTGTGGTGCACATTCTCAATTGATTTTGATTTGCGAATAAACCAAAACCTTTTACTCTGGTTTCTTCCAACTATAGGACGTTTTTTGTTCAAGTTAAAAAAAATTGTATTGAAAGGCTTAGTTTCTAATATTATTTAATGTAAAAATCTCTTTCTAAGTATTTGAAAAAAATTTAATCTTGGATGTAATGTCAAAGCTTGGGTTTTTCTTGGTTTGAATATAGTTCTTTGCTTTAGTCCTGAGTGAAACTAGCAGGTGTCTAATTTTCGAACGAAATAGCTAGCAAGATAACGTCGTGTATTTTTGTGCATATATTTTTGGCAATTTTCCTATATATTCCATATAGGTTTCGTTTCGTTTAACACGTTAAGTGCGGCACGAACCACCGGTATGAAATACGCCCTGAACACGACATACCATAGACGCACTTAACGTGTTATAAAAGAGCGCGGCTTATCGGAATGATTCATTCCGATAGCGCACGAAAACCCATAATTTTTAAATTGTAATGATCTGAAACCTAAAATGATTCAACGAAACTCAGTTTAGTTCTGCGGTCTTTACACGCTTTCTCACTCTTTCATTGTTTGGGTGACTTCGCAGAATTGCGGTCAGTCTGCCCAGAACGCGTTGAACACGTCGCTCCAGACCCTGCAGCTTCTGGCCTCCGGCTCTACCAGCGTCACGAAGCTCCCCGCCAAATCTCCCTCGTCCTCTCCTCTCAGCGGCAGATCGTCTCACAACACGAGTCCCGTTGGGGGAATGTCGGCACTCGCTGGAGTGCCATCGCTGAGTGGGTTTTCCCACTCAATGCCATCTACTAGTCCGATTATGTCTTCAATGGGTCCTGGAAAATGTCCGACCTCTTCCACTCTAAGCAACATCTTGTCGGGGGCCAGCGGGTCAACATCAGCAAGCATTTCAAGTCTCGTTGCTCTTGCGAACGCCGTCAACTCAGCTGGTGTCCACGGTCTGCCCGGAGGCAACCGCCTGTCACTGTTGAATAATCTGCCGTCGGCACAACTCGCTGGACTGCAGGGAATCAAAGACTCGCTGCCTCCTCAGCTGCTCGCCGGGCTCTCCAGCGCCAACGCCAACGACCCGGCCAGCAAACTCGCTCTCCAGGTGAGAATTATTTCAGGTCTCGTCATGTTTTTAGTTTTTATACTGTGCGAAACTCGCGATTTGAATTCAAATGCTTTAAGTACTTGTAATTAAGGCTTGGAATAGTATTTCTTAATACCCATAGAAAGAATCCGCCTCCAATCCTTGTTCTTCGCTGAACGGTTCGTCTTCGGTTCTCGTCGTGGCAACTCTTGAACTTTTCCCACACCTTATTGGTGGATTATTTATTGGGTAAAGCTCGGTTGAATGCATGGGTACTGTTTACCCAATAGGTATTAAATAAGCACTTTTTCTCACTAAAAGTCGTGGCGCCGCGGGAGCAATTTTCATTGATTTACCCACATCACCGACCCGTGTATTGACACCTGTGCTGGATAAATGTTTTAAATCTTGCAGTGAATATTTCAAATACGACTTTTCCCGACTGAAATTTTCAATAAGGAGCGCAAACCTTGCGTGTGCCGCCACTCGCTAAGGGATGATGTTTTGAGAATTTTTTACTAGTTGTGCGATTGTTTATTTCGTACACAGCGACGAAATCTCTATTGTAAAGTGCGTTTTTGTCGTACTGTACAAGTCGCTATGTGATCATTACTGCAATGTTCATCTATGATAATTTATTATTTGTTAACAGGAGTGCTGTAAGTAATACTTGTTATTTTTAACGCGAAAAGGGGCCGCGTTTTCATCGTACTGTGATATGATTAAACTAAGCTGAAGTAGAATCACATCTGTGAAGGAATGGATTAATTTGTGATAAAAGTTCAGCTTGTGTGCTAACATTAGTTAGTGCACTATTTATTGCATGAATGAGGCCGAGTAGTGGGTTGATAGTGAAAATTTTGGGATTTTTAACTAACTTCTACGAACTAGTGTGCTTCTCACATTATCTTTTTATTATGGATGGAAATTGAATGCTCTAACCAACTAATAAGTGCCCTTAGTGTGCCACGATTCATGACGTGAAAAATTAATATTCACAATTTTTCCGTTAATATTGCCAGAAAGATGTTCTATTAATAACGCATCGTCTGCATTTTTAGTTTGAATTTCAAATTTCTAATTTAAAACTGATTATTAAATTCGTAATCTAAGTTCTGAAATGGTTTTGGTATATTTATTATATTATTAACGGTAGCTCCTGAAACTTCGCGGCATCCAACAGTACATTATAGAGAGGCAATTTTACGCGGCACTTATGTTACATATTATCTGTTGGAATCTGCATATAAATCTTTTAATTATTCATTCACTCGACAGTTTTTTTGCGCATGTCAACTCGACTGAAATAATGGATTGCTTTCCTGGTTAGTCATGCAGCGTATCATTTTGTCACTTTAAATCTACTGGCAGCGCTACTGTACAAATTCAGAAGACAAGCTATAGGCAAGTGGGAAGCTGTGAAATCGGCGTGTGAAAGAGCATTTCTCAAGCTCAAACAATTCACGCGAGCGGATCGTGCGTCTTGAGTATGCAATGAAATTCAATAGAAGTTCTTCGAAAGAAGCTGGAAAGTTACCGTATGAGATAATAAATTTACAAAAATGTTAACATATGAGGTTATCCAAAATTCAGTTGCGGTATTGAAATGATGCCTCTTGATGAGCATTTGCGGTGGAGTCCAAGCTGGGCGTATGGCTCCAAGTTTGACGTGTAAGACAAAATGTAATGGGTTTTTGGTGCCCAATAAGGAAGCATTAATGGGCACATTCTCCCGCAGATGAGGCTCTTGGTGTGGCTCAGTCTCATCAACAAAGAGGCTCAGAAGAAGAAGGTAACCGACCTGTCTGTCTCTGTCATTAATAATTAATTGTCTTCCTCACTAAATGTCCTCACATCTTTGTGTGTTCGCCCTCAATAATAGCCTGCTGCAAATCCATCCTGCTTTTGGAGTCCCATAAATCCTCGCTTTCTATCACCGTTTGCAATGGCGACCTAAGGATAGCCTGGCTTATATTACCTGGTCGTTTCCTATAGTGCGCACCTTTTATTTTTAGTGTTGTATTGCTATGCGTTATAGCGGGTAACGACGCTCGGTTTACGCCAGCTTATCGTTGAAGCGTTTTTGGAATGGCTGAGCTTACTAATAGTTTCTTAATCTGCACCCTTATGCGTGTTTTGCACTGTGCATCCCTGTTGACGATTATTTATTCGAACTGGTTGGACTCACGTTTTCAATCCTTTATTCACCCTGAGTTTGTATACTCTTGCTGAGATTTGAGGAGCGTGTGTATTTTTATGTGTAGTTAGCTGTGCATAACTTCACAATGTAAATATCGATCTCACGATTGATTCGTGAGATCGATGATGCATGTTTCTGTTGATTATTCACAGCTGTAGATGATTTATGTGAATTCTAATTATTTTCGTTGCTACAAGAAAGCGTGAAAAAAAAGAAAAAAACAAGAAAAAAAAGAAAAATTTGAACAGTAGCGAGGTTTCGAATAAGCGCTTCTCTGTGAACAAGAGACAGGCGCTTTAAGCAATAACGTGCCGTCTTATTCCGCAGCTCGACAACATTAATTTAAATGTTTGCGTTGACATGAAGTCCGTATCGCTGGTAAAAAAATCAGAGCATTATGAACTGAACGACTTTTTCAAGGGTTCGCAACTCATTCTGGACCGCTACAAAAAATGTATAAAAGCCAGCTACCACACGCATCTCCAACGTACCGTACTCTTCGTCAAATGTCGAATTTATTGAGAATTACTCAGAGTTAAGATAGGTACATCTCCCGTACGTACAGTTTTGATCTGTATTTTATTGTCCATTTGTATACATCGCTTTTAAATATTCTCTTTTGCATGTTTGTTTTCTATGTAACGCAAAATTTTTGTTTTCTGCTAAATTCTTTTGCATTTTACAATATCCTCCTTCCTGGTTCGTCACTGGATGAGTAGTATTGTGTGCACCTAATTTCTATAGGCCAAATAAATAGGATTGCATTAGAGTTTCGGTCATTATAAAAATTTATTTATTGGCACTCATATTTTTAGAGAATTTCATCCTCCAGGCTATTCATTACTTCCATTACCAGCATTTTATGTGCAGTAAATATCACGCAGAGGTGTCGGCGTCGTAAACCTGGCCCAATTTTTCACATTATCGCGATAAAAGCGTGTGTGCGTGTGTTTTTTTTATGCTACCTGCTGTCATGCGCTGTTTATTGTGCAACATTAGCGCCACAGCTTTATTTTTTATCGTAAAAATATGTTTCCCACAGTAATTAACTACATTTTGGTTTTACTCAAATCAGCAGCAGCAGCAGCAGCAGCAACAACAACAGCATCTACAGCAACAAATGCAACAATTGCAGCAAAACCAACCTAAGAAGAAGAACAAGAGCAACACGTCGTCGGCAAAGCTCCCTTCATCGTCACCTTCGTCAGTCTCGTCGTCCCCTACAGCCTGCGGTGGGAGCAGTGGGGAGGGGCTGCCCCCCGCGGAGGAGGAGTTCCCTCCCCCCCAGCTGGTCCTGGATCATCAGGGCAACCCTGAGTGGAAGTGTGCCGCTTGCAACTTCAGGTACGTAATTAAAAAATCTATATTGGAATAAAAATGAAAATCCTTCGTGTAAAAATATGCATTTGTTAGAGGTAGGACCTTAAAATGTCGTATAAATAAATCGTTTAAAATAGAAGTTAATGATCCTTCCGCAGGTTTAACTTCAGCTTGTATGTGCTGCATGTGACGTCGAAAATTTGATAAATTCCGAACGCATTATTTTGGGATGTTTATAGTTTTGATGCAGTCATTTAACCATCGTTCTTCTTCACTTATTACAAGTCCTATCACTAGTTCCTAACTTTTTGAATTTGATAATAACGTAGGAGTCTTATTTCTCCTTCACATAGGCTGTCGTAGAAGTTTTACGAGCTGACTTGAACAAAACTGCATCGTTGTTTCTATTGCAATTACAATTGTTTTTAAGAACACACAATTTTTTCGAGCGCTTGTTTTTATAAGCTATCCTGTTGCCACTGAGACCTCATGAGAAGATTGATGTTTTTTGTTATTACGATCTCCGTCTTGTTACTAAGTCACACTCATTACACGTTATTAGATGTCAAGAGGTTTGCTGTTTGTTGTTGTCTCGAGGGTCATGTTTTCACCGTGTCACTGTGTTCGCTAACGCCGTTTTTTTAATAAGATAACGTGCAGATCCTTACATGCACCGTGTTGTTACTACTGAGTCGCCGTGTTCTAGAGCACCGTGTTGTTACAGAGTCGCCGTGTTCTAGAGCACCGTGTTGTTACTACTAATACTCCGTGTTCTCGAGCACCGTGTTGTTACTAAGACACCGTGTTCTAGAGCACCGTGTTGTTACTGAGTCACCGTGTTCTAGAGCACCGTGTTGTTACTGAGTCACCGTGTTTTAGAGCACCGTGTTGTTACTAAGACATCGTGTTCTCGAGTACCGTGTTCCTAATTTACCGTGTTCTAGAGCACCGTGTTGTTACTAAGACATCGTGTTCTCGAGCACCGTGTTCCTAATTCACCGTGTTCTAGAGCACTGTGTTGTTACTAAGTCACCGTGTTCTCGAGCACCGTATTGCCACTAAGTCCCGTGTTTTCCTGAGAACTAACATATGTTTTGCCACGGCAGGGACAGCGATCGTGGCACGGTAGAGCAGCACCGCAGTCTGGCGCACGGCCGCAGTGTCGTGTCGCTCCTACACGCCGTGCACCGCTGCGACGTGTGTGCTTTTGCTGCCGGCACCAAGCGGCATGTTCAGGTATATATTTTTAATATAACGTATAGGTCAATATTGTGTGTATAACGTATAGGTCAATATTGTGTGTATGACGTACAGGTTAATATTGTGTGTATAACGTATAGGTCGATATTGTGTGTATGACGTACAGATTAATATTGTGTGTAAGACGTAAAGGTCAATATTGTGTGTATGACGTACAGGTTAATATTGTGTGTATAACGTATAGGTCGATATTGTGTGTATGACGTACAGATCAATATTGTGTGTATGACGTACAGGTCAATATTGTGTGTATGACGTACAGGTCAATATTGTGTGTATGACGTA